AATAAAGGACAAGGGTGTTAAATTTTCAAACGAATTGAAACAGATGGTAGAGTAGATGTTTTTGCCAAGAAATCCTGGGAAAGGTAAATCAAAACGGGAATAGTAGGTGGGGAGACAGCAAGCCTATACTTCAAAGCCATACTCAGGAGGGAAGGGAAGAAGATCTGTTTAATCCTGCAAATGTTTACTGAACCTCAGGTATTGTGTAAAACCCTCTGGGATATTTGCTAAACATGAGTTACTGTCTCCAGAGACCTTACAAACAGGGGAGAAGTACAAGTCACATACGAATAGTCATTCAGTGGAGGAAATACTAAAACAGTGGTTTAGAAAATACTGTGCTAAGTTTGGTGAGTAGAAAGCCTCCAGATTATTTATTCTGTTGCCCAGGTAAGAAAACCGCTGTACCAGACAGAATTGCAAAATACATATGAGAGCAAGGAAGAGGCTATACTATTTCAATCCACCAATACCTTATCAGGTGTTAAAACTTATTATTAAGTCAGGGTCACAGAGCCCTCTATAGCTGGAAAAGTTTCTGCTGCATTGAAGTCATTTGGTATTTTTCCATAAGTTAACATTCTGCTTGTATTCACTTCCCCATTGGTTTGTGTCGATATCTAGCATCATGTTTGCCATAGATACCTTTTTCCAGCATGTGTAGAGTTTTTACTTTTATAACTTTCGAGTTTTTTTAGGCTGTATTATATGCTGCTTTTAATTGCGGGGAATAGGGTAAATCACCAGTAGAAAGCAGAAGATATGTACTACACCCTTGGGTTTGGTTTTAGGTTCTCTTTGAGTCTCTGTCAGCCAGGATATCATGCTTCAGTTTTCATTGACTGCTGTGTGAAGATATGTCATGGCCTCATGCGCTTTAAGTATTCTGGTCTTTATTTATAGACTCCTTCTGTGGACCACAAAATTCATTTGTGAGGGTACTTACTCTCCTTTGTCTTGTTAATGTGGGCCCAGTAACCATAATGTTTTAAAGGGCCATTCACTGGGATTTTCTTTTCCTAAAAGTTCAAACTTCTCATGGCTAGGTTTTTCTAAAATTTCTAATAGTTGACAGCAGTTTTGCCTTGTGGTGCCTTGAGAATTAATCCTGGAAATAAAGTTTGCTTGTTTAAAAAAAAAACAACCAACAAACAATAACTTCCTCCCTAGCTCCCCACATTAGTTGTAGGAGATATTTCTGCTGTGTTCTTCATAGACTTTTTGGAATCAAGTTCCTAGAACAGGACCTTATGCACTATTTAGGGCATAGTTAGAAATTCCCAATGAAAAATCTGGGATTCTATAAGTTGTATTTGAGTCCCTTTCCCATAGATATTATGAGGAGTCCTTGGCACATTTAGTTTTTAGGAACATGTTGAGGTTTTTATTAAGAACTCTTATCTTTCTGTTTGTTTCATTTGATGTATTTAGAAATTAATATCATACAATGATTTAGGATTAATTGGTACAAAAATGATATGATATGTTCCTGTAAATGTTTGGCTTGCTGGTTACAGACAAACCTAATGGTATAATACTGCTAATTTTAGTTTTGTTCATTGGGTAATTGGGTGGGTGTCCTTATGGAATAGAAATTTTACCAGATAGTAGCTGTGTTTACAAAACCTGTAGACTAAATTTAAAAATCACAGAGTTTTGTGACAGGAGTAAGCACAAGGGTAGGTAGATAAGTATTAAAAAATACAATTTTTTCCCAATAAAATTAATAACCTTTTAGGAGATGCAATTAAGAATACCTTGTGTTCTTTCTAGTGAGATCTCAATGAATATTTTATAAGTATCTAAGTAGAACCCCATTACTAGTTTAGAACAATGGCACCATTTATGTGGGCCCATTGGCCTCTGCTAGTGACTGTTGAAATGGAAATTGGGATGTCAGAAGTGTGGCAAAATAAAGTAGTATTATTATATGCTACATACACATTTAGAGGTCCAGGGCCATAGAACCTCCTTTTTTCTCAGTTGATAACTTTGCCTTCCTGGTTTATTGAGGTAGTGGGTTAAGTTGCAGAAATTGCACATATCTGCCTGTCTACCAGCATTTACACGCATGTAATCCACTTTGTTTGTTGATCCTATAGGACAGAAATCCGTGTTTCCATCAAGAACAATAGACCATAGGTGCCTGTTGAGACACCTTCTTGTCCGTTAAAGATGCTACTCTAAGTCTTTTTGTCTCCTATATGATAGATGTCTTCATCTAGTGAATCTTTCCCTTCAACATATAACCATGCCATCTTGAAAAATATGAAATCAGTCTTGACTATCTCCCCTCAGATAGCACTGCATTTTTGTACCTCACACAACAATGTGTCTTTAATCCTTTTTTACCCATTTAATCCTTCTTTCCATTATCTCTTCAGCCTACCCTAGCAAGGATATTCTCTCTCACCACCACTGCCTCCTAACTCTCACAGTAATTGCTGCTGTGCTCCAATTGGCAAAAATCATGCCTCGAATAAACCTCATTGGCTATGATACTGCCAGTGCACAAAGCTGCTGCTACGCTCCTCATCCAGTGGCAAAGTCTCAGGCTTCATTTTGCTTGATTTGTTAGCATCCCCGAAAGTACCTTCTCCAACGATGCATGTATTTCACTTATCCTTAGGAATCCACATTTGCCTGGTTTTGCTCCAACCTAGCTGGCCTGTGTTCTTGACCTTTTCTGCTGGTTCTTTCCGCACTCCTCCCTAACATCACAACATTCTTTTGCTCATTCTACTTTTTTTTTTAAGATTTATTTTTATTATTTTTTTATTGGAAAGGCGGATATACAGAGAGGAGAGACAGAGAGGAAGATCTTCCATCCGATGATTCACTCCCCAAGTGAGCGCAACGGCCAATGCTATTCCGATTCGAAGCCAGGAGCCTCATCCGGGTCTCCCACACGGGTGCAGGGTCCCAAAGCTTTGGGCCGTCCTCGACTGCTTTCCCAGGCCACAGGCAGGGAGCTGGAAGGGAAGCAGGGCTGCCGGGTAGAACTGGCGCCCATATGGGATCCCGGGCATGCAAGGTGAGGACCTTAACCACTGTGCCACCGCGCCGGGCCCTGCTCATTCTACTTTTTAATTCAACATTCTATCATGGGAGTACCTTAGACTTTTGTTCTTGGGCCTCTTCTGCTTATTTATACATAATCCTTTGCTTTCTTAATCTGATTTTATTGTTATTAGAAAGCCATATGAATCAGTAATTTATAAAAGAATAAGGCATATTTAGATCATAGTTTTAGAGACTGACATATTCAAAATTGTAGCGCTGGCATCTGCTGAGGCCTGGCTTGCAGTTTTATAACGTGGTGGAAAGCATTGTGTAGCCAGACGAGTTATGCTAGCTGGGGTCTCTGTCGTTGTCAACCCACTAATGTTATAATGAGAACCCCACCCTCATGAACTCATGGAACCTTGACTTCTCCAAATGGGGTTGTTTCTAAATATCATTACTGTATGATGTAAGGATTATGTTTTCAATGCCTGAAATACCATACTATTTGTTATTTTATCCAATGTGTGCGTTTTTTAAAGCAAGATTTTGTCTGCAGATCATTGAAAAATTCATTTCTTCAGGCTGGAAGTGCATCCTGTATCGATCTGCTTATTCGACACTTTTGCTTGTATGCCTACTAGACATCTCTAAAGCCCAACTCCCTGTTTTTTGTTTTGTTTTATTTTCCCCAGCACCTTCTATTCAAGTCCTTCTTGTCTTGGTAGGTAGCATGATAGCATTTCATTCCAGGTATTCAAGCCAAAATTTGTCCTGAACTTTTCTTTCACATCCCATATTTAGTCTGTCAGCAGAACCTGTTTCATGCACCTTCAAAATAAGTCAGCAAATCTCACCACACTTCCTTTTCTCCACTGCTATTGGTATTTTCCAGATCTTCATCACTTGTTTGATTTTTGAGGTGGTCTTCTAAGTATCTTCTTGGCTTCTACCCTATCAGCCAAATTCCATTCAACAACCAGACAGCACATTAAAAATGGAAATGTGTATCTTCCTTATTACTATCAGAGAAAGGTCTCTTGTTAGGTTGGATTCTGTGGCCCATGTAGACCGTGCTTATTGCATAGCTCATCCATCTCCCCCTCTAACTCTTTTCTGTGCGTTATAGGGAATCTGGCCTTCAGTATTTTTATATTTTTACAGTGTTACCTAGATCGTTGTCTGGATCATAATTGACTCCCTTTCTCATTTAAAACTTGCCCACCTGCTTGTGCCCTTCTTGAGCACTAGATTGTCTTACTCATCTAGATTTCTTTAAACGTTTTCTAATGTGCTACTTTCTTATGTTTATTACCTACAATTTGTTCCATCATAATACAAACTCCATAAGGGCAGTGTGTTTCAGATGTTTTATTTATTGTTAGTCCTATAATATCTCGAACAAATAGTGACACATACTAGAACATCAATAAACTTGCCTAAAATGAGTTAATCTAATGAAATAACCCAGAAATGTCCCATTTTTAAATGGTGTCATTGTTTTTGTTGTTAGAGGATATCTGTGTTGAAGTCACAGTGAACAACATGAGCTATTATAGCTGAAGGTTTTAGAGTTTTTGTTTAAAAGGTGTAACTTATTGTCAAAGCTGTTAAGCTGGTGATGTGAGTAGACCTCACATAAGACAATTGAGATTCAGTTACTGTTATATGTTGTGACAGCAACGTTCATTTAGAATTACCATTCCATTTGCCAGAAGTCATTATAAAACATGGTAAAGTGAGAATCGAGTAGAGAAAAGGTCTGGGCAGGGAGCAGACGAACAGACTAGGGAGCAACCTAATCCTTTAATTTCCAATCTTAAGAAGAAGGACAAATGTATGTAAACTACTGAATAAATTATTTGACTTGTTGGGGATTCTTCTTCTCATTGGAATGCACCTGGTCATGAAATAATATAAATATATTTAGGATTTAAATTGTAATTTTGCTGAGAATTTTTTTGTGTGTTTACATGTGCATATGTATTTTCTACTAGGCTTCTTCACTGAATCATAATAATTATTCCATCCAGAATTTCTGCAGACTATTTAATGGATATGTTTACAGTGGCGTGGAAACTTTGGGGAAGGAGCTCTTTATGTACTTTGGACCAAAAGCTTTACGGTAAGATAAATTTGTACCATACATCTTGTATTTCTATGTTTCAAGTTATGTAGAAAGATTTCCTTGCAGTTTGTTAGGTGTCACATTTACTCATAGAAAGTGCTCTATTTTTAAGAGAACTCTAATACAAGAGGTTGAGATTCTATCATGGGAAGCAATAAGAAGCAGAAGAATAAATTGTGATGTCATCATTACTTGGAGGCTAGTCAATTTATTTCCCTTAAACAAATGGATAATCTAGCAGGGCTTCCCAAGATGTATTAGAGCAACACATCTCTGCTTTGCTCTTCCCCAAACTCCCTTCCCCACTGCTCTCCTTTCTTGTTCTCCCCAAATGTTTATTGCATTCAGTGACATCAGTCACTTTATATTTGTGACAGGTCCTACTTTAGTTTCAATGTTTCACTGGATTTCTGCTTTTTTTTCTGTCTTCTTTCTGTGAAGCCTTGAGCAGAATTTGGAAAAGCTTACAGAATTTAGAAACTTTGGAAAGAGATTACAGCTCCTCCATTGCTTCACAGTTCTTAGAGAAATGCATGGTTTATGTGCTGGCACGGGCGGGCAGGGGGAGCAATTGACCACCACTTTTGATTTATGGATCAAAAAGTGTGACAGTATAATTGCAAGGCAAATTGCCTGTTTAATTTTTGTAGGAACATGCAAAATGCCTATGAATCTACAAAATGTTAGTCTTTTTTGTTTGTTTTTCCCCGGAATCTGATGTAAACTGTGGCAACCTGAGAAAACTGAGTACTGTTTCCTTGTATCCATTTTAGTGTTTCTTTAAACTGTTGTAGGGATCATCTTTAAGGAGAGACCTGTTACTGGACCCATGCTTCTAACCAAAGGTGAACGATAATCACAAAATGATACAACTGAATGCTTTCATTTCTTGCTTCTCATCAGCCAACTACTTGGAGTACTTGGGGTTTTAAGTAATTGCTTTTCCTTTAAGGTGTTCTGTCTTCCTTGTCAGCAGCTTCTGTCCTTGGTCAGCGTTGCTACTTCATACTTTTTCCTAGTCTGCAGTTGATAGCATCAGCATATGCTTACTGGTTCATGGAGCAGTGATATATTGCAGGTTACATTACTGCTGCAGTACATTGATGTGATTGAAAACTCTTAGCTCTGAACAGGCAGGTTCACAGTGGAATCCATGCATGATGGCTGAAAGCATTGATATGTTATTGATTGTCAGATATTAGGTGCAAATTTATTTCTATAGAACATGAAAGAGGTTTTTATCAAGAGTTCTTCACCAGACTGATAAAGGAAAAATCATTCCTCACTGCAGGGCTGTCAGAAAATGTTCTGGATTTTCTACACAAGGACACACTCTAAACTAAGCAAGCAGGTTCCATCCCTAGAGAATACCTCTGTTGGTAATATGGGTAGGTTAAACAGCAGTTGTCTTTTTTTTTTTTTTTTTTACGTTTTAATTTTCCACCTCCTTAGCAATTATTGGTTGCAACAATTCAAGGTCAGTGTCAGATCTCTTGGAACTGGGTTCAAAAGCCTAAAGTCAACTATCCTCTTTCACACTATAACAAGAACAACCAAAAGATGTGGTCTTGTTAGGAAAATGGATGGTTCTGTCAAGGATGTGTGATTGTTGTGTGAGGCTTCGGGGCTGTGAGCCCGAGATAGAAACGAAGTGTTCGTTTCTACCTCCACTTCTGCTGTTTTTTACTCACAAGACTTGTCTGCATTTTAGAGAGCAGATAACAGAAAACATTTAAAGGTTGCTAATGCTTTTCCCTTAATACTCAGTTTTTACAATCAAAATTGCTCATAGGCCTTAGTTATATGTGCACCTCACGGGGAATACTGTGAATCTTTTGGAATGCATTTGTTTATAAAAGCAGAATTTAGATATGGTCCTCTATGAGAGAATCTGCTATGTATCCACATTCTAGGAAAATATAAATTACATAGTGATTATTACTGTTAGTGCATGATGTATCCAGGAGCTCAGGTATGCACAGAAATTTAAACTTATTTTATATACATTTATTTTAGTAGCACAGTTATGTTAATGTGTGTTCAGTACTTACACTATTTCTGAATACTATACGGATTTTTAAATAAAATAATTAACTTTTAATTTGCTGTTTGAAGTGTAACACATATGAGCAAACTGAATAATTATTAAAAAGTGAATGCATAATAATACACTTATAGTGCTATCACCAAATGTAATATTTGCTTTTAAATTTTTATTTAATTTACTTTCATTTTATTTGAAAGCAGAGAGACAGAAACAAAGTAAGAGATATTCCATCTACTGATTCACTCCCCACATGCCTGAAACAGCTGGGGCTAGTCCGGGAGAGAGTGCTGCTGGGGCTAGCCCGGGAGAGAGTGCTGGGGCTAGTCTAGGAGATGAGAAGGTATCTGTGTCTCCTATGTGGGAATTCCATGGAGCCTACTCACGAACTTTCAGTCTTGTGAAAAAAAAAATAACAATAACAACAACAACAATTAAACCATGTTCCTGAGTTGCATGTCAACACTAATCAATATAGAAACATAAAAAGATAGCCCTCATGCATACTTAATTTGCCAAAAAACAAAGCTGAAGAGAAAATTCTGGAAGCAACCACAGAACAACAAATATTAAATGAAAGATGTAGATTTAAAATTAATATTGGTGTTCTCATCAGAAACTGACGGAAAATAATAGAAACATCTTTCCATAGCTTAAAAAAAAGCCTCATTTCAGAATTTTAAGCATACAAAAAAAGCTACAAAACATGAATGCACTATCAAATAAACCAGAAGAGCTGCAAGAATTCAGTACCAGCAAACCTCCCAAAAAAGTTAAACAAGGTATGTCCAGCACAAAGGAATGCAATAACAGGCACAAATTGAAATCTAGAAAACTGAATTCAGTTAAAGGTACAGGACTCAAAACCAACAGGCAAAATAGAAGTGATAATGAACTTGTTGAAAGATGAGTCAAGAAAGCAGTCCCATTAAATATATAGGTATACACATGCTTGTATGTTTATTTATAAATAAATTTGACCCAACCATAAGTTATCTGTAAGAAATGTAAGAAATACCAAAATATAAAGACAAGTTCAAGAGAAGGATGAAAGCAGGCAAACTTTTGGAACACAAATTAAAAGAAAGCTGGAGTTGCCATACTAGTAACAGACAAAATGTACTTCAAATCAGGGAACATTGCCAAAGTAGAGAAGGGCAGTGAATAGTGGCACAGGGGTCGTTACGTTAAGAAAGCTTAAATTCCAGGTGTCATGTACAGAAGAACTTGAGCTAAATCAATTAGGTCCCAAAATTGCTGTAATGCTGCTTTCAGGTTGCTAGCCTGGTGTGTGGGGGGGAAGGTTGAGTGAGTCCAGCAAGTAGCTGAGCCTGATGTGAGCTTTGGTGTGTTGAAAGTGCTTTTAGTGCACCAGCAACTTCAAAACTCCAGGTGCTATTGCTGTTTGATCTGTAGTTGGTATGGCTGAGACTGTTTTTCTGTGATCTTTCTCCCCTGTCAGCTTCCAGCAGACCCTGTGTGTCTCTCCATACTCCTGCCCCTTTGTGTTGGGAGCCTACTGTCATTGACTAACACTCAGTGAGAGGTTCATGATGGGAGAGAGAGAGGTCCTCACTCCTTCTGAATCAGCTTTAATCGTGAGCTGCCTTTGTGCACGTGGGCCCCAGGGTTGCAGGCTCTGTCCTCTGCATGACAACCAAACTCTCCCTCATCTCTGTGGGTGTTCCTGAGCCAGAGTTCCCTACCTGTCTCCCAGTTGTGGTAGATTTCTCTTAGGTTCCATGCCAAGGCCGATTTCCTGCCCTTCCACTAAAGAAAGATAGCTTTGGCCTTTATCTCCTCCTCAACAGCAGTGCAGTGTCTTGTCCTGTGCCTGCTGTTTGAAGGATTTCCTGCCCCTCCCTGGTGGCTGCCGCTTACGCATGGTACTCAGTGTAAGACCATTGTGTGCGAGCAGTTTCCTGTTCCTCCTTCAAGACAGACAGCTCTTTTTCTTTAATTATTTCATCTTGGCTAAAATAGCTTAAGAGTTTCCCAAGGCTTTTGTTTCATAGGAAAGAATTCATCAGGATTGAAAGAACTCTGGTGTCCTGTCATTGAAGGCAGTTCTTTTAGTCTCAGGCCTCGAGAGGCTCTAAAGGATCACCCAAGCCCATCCTCAGTATTAAAAGTTTGTGGAAAATATTGACACTTTCCTTCTTCTTACTCAGTTTTATGGTAGCCATCTCTTCCTCTTGTACCCTGCCATGGATGACAACTTTCTTTTATGACTTTCCTCAGAGGAGCTTACCACTCTTAGGAATTTAGCTCACTTGGTTGCCTTCCAACATTTTGTCCCAGATGGGCTTAAGAAAATATGAGTGTGATTTTTTTTAAACCATGCTCTCTTTTTCTTCTTAGGTTGGGAACTGTATTTATGTTCGGTCTTACATTTCCTAAGTAGAAGCAGTACTTTCTTTTATCAAAGATCTTTCTTTGAATTTCTAGCATAGATTATAATTATTATAATCTAACTGTTATTGTAATTATTATATCTAACTGTTTTATACACATTATTCTTAGGACATTTATTACCGTTTGGTAGTCGTAGCAAGCAGTTGCTTTACATGCAGCGTGAAGTTGTCATTAACGTGAACCTGTGATATTACTGTGGTTTATGCTGCTTCTGGATGTCTGAATGATTCTCATGGTGATTAGCCTAAATCAGTGTCGCAGATGTTTAAAACAGAATCAGTACTTACTTATTAGTTTGTTTTTAGAAGCTGTTTTTAACTAAACAAATCTTCTTAGCAGCAACTTAGTTTTTAGTATCAGCATAATTTTTATTTATTACTTTAGATGCAGTTAACAGAACCCAACTCAAGCAAGTACAATAATTATTATAAGAATATTGTGTATATTATAATCCTGAAGCGATGGTAAGCTTCTGGGAGGACTAGAAGCAGGGCAAAATCTAATAGGTTAGAGGCTCAAATAGTTTCATGAGATCAGTGTAGTTTTAAGATAAAAGTGTGTAATAAACACGAAAATTAATGGTTTATTGTATCTTATTGTGAAATTTAGCTATTTAATAATATAAACAAAAACAGTTATTTTAGTGCACATTTCCCTCTAAAACGAACAGATTTTAAGACAAAGGTGTATATATTTTATTTAGGGTTATGATTGGAGCTCTTCTTGCATTTGAATTTGGTTTCAGCCTTTGAGATTTTTGATGTGGATGTGGCTTCATTATAGAAAATGATTTAGCATCTAATTTATGATCCATGCAGCAGAAAAGATTTTAGATATGATGGCTTCTGGGCATGACAGTTGTACACCTTTTCACTGGGTTGGACCATTATAAGCTAAATTATGGAGTACTTACAGGCATACATTTTTGCTGTCAAGAACTATGGGCCATGTAAAATGCATTTATGATTGATAGTAGGGCACATAGAGTTTAAAACCCACATTTTTAAAGTTAGACTGGTTAACCTTGTACTATACTGGAACATGGTGTTTTGGAATTAGTAGCACAGAGCAGTAACATTTGCTGCCAAAAGATCTATATTTATTAACTCAACAAAGCCATAAGGGGAAAGATTTGAAAGGCAGAACACAGTATTGCATCTTGGGAGTCATATTTGATCTTCATCATCAGAGATAACCAAGTCATTTTTTCTGAGTTGCACATGCTAATCAATTCTACAAAATCTGAAAGGTTATGGATTTTTCACCACGGTATTGTGGCCCTAAACATAACAGTAAATATTTATAAATCCATTTTCAATATAGAAAGGTAGAAGAAATTGAAAAGAATTGAAGATTATACTATTTTGATTTCTCTCTTCTAACTCTCTCTTACTTTTTTGATAACATAAGATTTTGCAAAAAAAAAAAAAAATGCTTCATTTCATTCTTCCTCAAATCAGTAGGGAAGAAGAATGTCTTCAACTGCAGATACTATTTTGCAGTAGATAAACATTTCCAATTCATTGTGGCTAGAATAAGGAATTTGAATGTCAGTGGCTTTGAGGAATTTGTAACAGCACAAACTATAGCCAATTTAAATTTAGCGTCATCTCATCTCATCTTCTTTTGAAACTGAAAAAGATGCCAAGAGATGCTAGACTATTTTGTGAATAAAAGATAACTTCAGGCAACAAGAGAACAGCATACATTTTCTTGGACATATTGTAGGGGGCTGCTTAATTCTCTAGGAAGTTATTTGTGATTGTAAAGCTGATTGTTGTATCTTTCAGACTTATGAAGCTGTAAAACCATAAGACAATATGTAATACTAGTTACTATTTTTCTGTTTAAACGTGCTACCTTAACATTTGTTCACTTATAATCCAAGAAATATAAAATAAAGGTAAAAAAAATTGGAAGTGATATACTATCTCAAAAATTGATTTGCTTTTGTTTCAGGATTCATTTTGGAATGAAAGGCTTCATCCGGATAAATCCACTTGAGCATAAAACCAAGAATGGAGATTGTCCTGTTTTGGAAGTGAGGCTCACCAAAGATTTGATTTGTTTCTTTGATTCATCAGTAGAACTCAGGTATTAAAAGAGAGAGACAGACAAACAGAAAGAGAGAGAGGAAAAAAAGGGGGGGGCAAATATTCAACTATGAACTGCAGAGTCAGAACCTGCATTTTGTTTTGGGATATAACAAAGATTGCTGAATAAATAAATGGTTTATAATTAATAAGAGCTTATATTAAAAGAGACATCAATTAGTAGAATTCATGAAGATCTTCATTAAGATGTTTGTCCATGTATTTCTTAAATTTTGGTTACCATAAAGAGTTTGTTTATGTGCTGCTAAACTCTTCTTAAATGACACTTTGCAAAACTGTAACCTGACTTACAATCAGTGTGTTTTATATCCCTTTCTGAAGAAACTCGATGGAATGCCAACAGAGAATAAGGATGATGGAAGAATTAGATGTTTGTTCACCTAAATTTAGTTTCTCAAGAGCAGAAAATGAAGTTAAGAAGCAGAAAGGTCGAATGCTATGTGATGTGTTAATGGATCAGAAAGTGTTGCCTGGGGTGGGAAATATCATCAAAAATGAAGCTCTTTTTGACAGTGGTCTCCACCCAGCTGTTAAGGTAATGTATACATATTTTTTAAAATTGTTTCTCTGTTTTTAAATGATCTTGTTACTGTTTCTGTGGAATGATGGGAGTGGAAGTCAGCAGAAACTAGGAATAAATGATCAGTGAGGGCATGGAAACACAATTGATGATCTTTGTTAAAATAGCTAAGGCTGGTGTGAACACTGTTAAAGTACTAGAGGAACACTTGCACAAGAAAGAGTTTACTGTTGGTTTTTTCTTTTCATTCATCTGCAGAATCATATTTACTTTTTACAGAAAACAAAACAGAACAAAAAAAGCCCCAGCACTGAATGATGAAAAGTAAAGTTACATTTTTAGAAAGAAAGTGATATTCCCTAGGGCAAGGTTCTAAGGCTCAGAGAGGCTGGAATGCAAACCCAGAGAGAATGCTTCATATATCCCCATGTTATGATTTGTTGGTGTTAACTATAATAAGTTTTAACTCCCTTAATTATATCGTGTTTATTGCTTAAGTTACTTTTTTAAAGGTTAGTTTATTTGAAAGGCAGACTGGCAGAGAAAGAGTTAGAGATGTAATAAACAAGATCTTCCCTCTGCAGTTTAACTCTTACGATGGCTACATTGGCAGAGCCAGGCTTGGCTGAAGTTAAGAATCGACGACTGTACTGGGTAGCAAGGCCCTAAGCACTTGGGACATCATCTGCTACTTTCCCCAGTGCGTTAGCAGGGAGATGCATTGGAAGCCAAGCAGCACACCCTCCCACAGCCTAACTTGCTGAACCATAGCACAACCCCTGTCATTTCTGTTTGTATAAACATTCACTGCCAAGATTCTGCAAAAGTTTAAATTCAAATGTATAGAGATCAGATTTTAAAAGAAAGTAGTTACTAATGTTTCTAGATTCAATCTATTTTATGTCACTTAAAATGTGCTAGTTTAATATGGCAATACTGAAACATATTGTTAACACAAATGAGAATTTTAAAATCAGTTAGCTCTCTGTATAACACTCTAGGGAAGTAAAAATGCCCTGGGTATTGGAGTTACCCTGGATAAACTTAGAATTAGCTTTTAACTATCTATCCAACCAAAGTTTTACCTAATAAAAGAAAAAATATTACCCAGAATGTCTGAGGTGTAAGAACTGAAGTTTAGCTTGTTAGCATCCCAGTAGCACATGGACAGTTATTGAAGAAGTATGGTTCAATGGTGCAGGGTATGTTATTACGATGTGTAAGATGTGGTGAGAAATAAACGTCTTGGAACTACAGAAATTTCAAACTTTAAACAATTCAAGAACATATACTTTTAGAAGCACTGATAGATGATTTTGGTTTTGATACTCCTTTATAAGCTGCCTTTTATTGTATGTGTGCATGTTTGTGTGTGCGTGTACACACATTCATGCGTATCCCATTGGGATAAGTCACTAGTAAGGATTTCGTTTGGTCTTAACAATGAGAGCGCATAGGCCAAATGACAATTTTGCAAGGGTTACACTGAGATTTAGCTTAGGCTTTGTGCAAAAACATTCCTCAGTAAGCTCTTTTTTTGTATGAGTTCTTCCATCTTTTCACAAGTACTTTGGTTTTCTTAATCAAGCTATTATTTTAATACAAACATGATTTTACATATTTGTTAGGTACAATGTGAAATTTCAGTACTTGCATAAAATATGTAATGATGAGATTGGCATAATTGGCATATCTATCACCTAAAACATTTATCATTTCTTTGTGTTGCAAATATTCAGATACCTTCTACTAGCTATTTTAGAATATTCAACTAACTGTTGTCAACTGTAGATAGCTATCTAACTGTTCCATAGAACATTAGAAATAATTTCTCCTATTTCGATTCCTCTGCCCCCGTACCCGTTAACCATTATTTGTCTCCTCAGGTTAACACATACCCCCAGCAAGCTATGGATATATACTATGTCATTAGTACATATAAATGAATGTATCATGTTATAGCTTGATATTGGTCCTGATGGTCATCTATTCCTGTGCCTATATTTTCTTCCCTTCTTTCTATTTACTTATTTACTTAGTCTTTTCAAGATGCCTGTTAGATAATGTTGGAACTTTAAAGATGTCTGACATGTAATAATCAATAAATGTGTCACTTTAGAGCTAAAATTTAAAAGTAACAATGGTATTTATTATCAATAACACTATCAAATGTAAACTCTTACCCCCAAGTAGATATATAAAAACAGAATTCTAGAAAATATGCATATATTTAAAAATTTTTTTATAGTCCTTAACAGAAATGTCAAGAAGTAAGTTTTTTTTACAATGAACAAACTAAGAAATTCTAAGTTGTTTTCCCTTTCAAGGTTTGTCAGTTAACAGATAAACAGATCCATCACCTTGTGAAAATGACACATGATTTCAGTATTCTCTTTTACAGGGTAAGAGCACAATTTTTTCTCTTTTATTTAGTTATTGATATGTATATATGGTGAACAAATTTTATGCATATGTCACAGTATAGATTTTGGAACATAATGATTTACCTACCCTCCTTCAACTCTCAAACATGCTCTTTTTTTTTTTATTTCTATTGGAAATGCAGATCTGCAGAGAGAAGGAGAGACAAAGATTTACATCTGCTGTTTCACTCCCCAAATGGCCACAAAGGCTGGACCGAGAGGTGGATAGGAAGTAGAGCAGCCAGGACACGGACCTGTGCCCATACGGGTTCATGGCACACGCAAGGAGAGGATTTAGCCATTGAGCCATTCTGCCATGCTCCCTTCTCCTCACTGATTTTTCTTTTGTTAAAAAGAAAATTGCAATGGCATGATTTTATTTTAGTTGGCCTTGCAATCCATGCTTAAGTAGGAATTCAACAAATAGTAAGCAGAAAAAAAAAAAACACCGTTTCTCAAGATATAGTCACAAGCTAGAAACAATAGTCAAATCTCAAAATCACAGCTTTGCTCTTATAGATTACTTTTTTTTTTCAAGTATGGTTGAACACTGGTTTCCATGTTCATTTCACCAAAAATATGAAGGTTGTATATAGCCATCTAGTGGTAAGACTATGAAGGTACAATAAGGCAGTATGACAGTTATGAACGTAATTTACAACCTGTAATTCTACATCGTAGGTCAATCCAGACTTGTTCAACTGAAAGAATGTTAAATAATTTCCATACTTCTTTATGTTACATTGGGAAAGTTGTGTTAGTATTTCACTTATACTATTTTTCAAATTTTGAACACATAAAATATAAAATTCTAGAGTAGTATTCTACCTAGTATTAGGTAGACCTAATACTTGAGGGCAAATAAACATTAGCCCCATTCAGCCTTCGCATTGGGCCATCTATGTGATTTAGATGATTTAATGTCATTTGTGTTTCTTTATCTGCAAGATGGAATACTAATAATTCTCTAACACAGAGACGTTTTGGGGGGAATGAAACAAGTTCTTGATATGCTAATATGTAAAAATTTAAGTTTTATGTATGCAGGGCCAGTGCGAAGGCGTAACAGATAAATCCTCTGCCTTGTCGCACCAGCTTCTCATACAGATGCCAGTTCTAGTCCTAGCTGCTCCACTTCCCATCCAGCTTCCTACTTAATACTTGGAACAGCAGTAGAAGTATACTTGGCTCAGTCCTTGTGCCCTTGTTCAAACTGGGAGACCTGGGAGAGGCTCCCAGCTACTGGATTGCAATTGGTTCATTTCTGGCTATTGCAGGCATTTGGGGAGTGAACCAATGGATGGCAGATCTCTCTCTCTCTCTCTTTCTTTCTCTCTATGTAATTCTGCCTTTTGAATAGAAAAAAATCTTTATTATTATATATATATATATGTATGTATGTATGCATATAAAAGGTTCAGTAAAACTTTTTTAGGACTTCTAAAAATTATTTACTTAAGATAAGGAGATTTAATGTAGTTCACAACAGAGATTTAGGCACACTTTTTTTTTTAAACAAATTATGATTGATACCTATTTTGCCTCTATTGTTCATTTTCTGAATTCCATTTTCATGGATTTTTTAAAACTATGTTCAAAAAGTAGATGCCATAGTGTTCTTCATTAATTGACCTAAAGCATTAATAAACCTTTTGCTTTGTATATTTGTCTGCCTCGAGTAAATATGGCTGCTTTTAAATTATATATGCTCATTTATTCTTACTGAAAAGATGAGTATGGAAAACTGCCTCTTTTTTTACTCCAATTAAATTGGGTATGTTAAAACTTCCTTAAATTAATGTCAGTTGTTTATGTAATGTTCACTACACACATAGTCAGCCACGCTCTTGGCCTTGGAATGCTCACTGCTGATGTCAACCCAGAATATTTCCTTTGTAGGAACTGCAGATCGGGTAGAATAAGTAAATGTATGACAGAAAGCAGAACTTAGATTAAATGGAGCATGCTCTGTGCTATGATGTATTAGAATTTTTACTTTCGTTTCTAGTGAATATGTAAGGTTAAAAAAGAAAACAAAATGTCCTTTGTCAAGTCATCAAAGGAGAAAATCTCCTTTGAATTTTGTGAATTTTATGTCACAAAAGCAAGATTTTTGGCTGCTGTAACTGAATGAAGAGCTCAGAGCTAAAGCTAATCTTTTTGTTTTAGACATATAATTATGTTTAATTAAAAGAAGAACTTTGAAAGCATAAAAGATATTTAAAATATGAACTTTTATATTTCATTTAGATAAAGGGGCAAAGTTATGCAAAGAACAATTTTGAATAGTAATAAGATAAAATAATGACTTAATTATTTCATTTATATCTGATTTAACACGCATTACTGAATGTGGTCAATATCTTTTTCTCTGATGAAAGACAAAATTTTAAAGACATGTATAAACACATGTAAATTCTTAACAGGTAATTTTTAGAGATGACTTTCAAGAACATATTTTTGTCTCTTTAGCAAGATTGCTTCGAAGATAACGTTGTTAATTTGTCCTTTTTTTTTTTCCAGTGTCTCAAAAGGGGATTGCCAATCTCAAAACACTTTAAGGTTTATAAGCGTCCCAATTGTGGTCAGTGCCATTGCAAAATAATTGTCTGTCGCTTAGGAGAGAATAGTAGAATGACATATTTCTGTCCTCACTGTCAAAAAGAAAATCCTCAACTTGTTGACATATGGTAAGAGATGTAATTTAAAGCAATATTATTTACCTCAATAATCTAATAGGTAGAGTCTGTATGGGTTTATTTTGATTCACAAAATAAGTTGGGTGAAAATTTTTCATAATGAAAAATACATATTATGCAAAAACTAGATACATTTTAAAATTGGTTTTGTACCAAAATATGCTCATACTTTGAATTTTGTTTTTATGACCTTTACAAAGTAATCCCATTTATGTAATAATAAACCAAAAATAACAGAATAAATATGAGTCATTTTAAGACCTAGATAATTTCCAGGAAGCTATATAGAAAATTCAGGAAGAAAGATTGGGCTAGGCTGAAGGTAGGGACCATGAACCCCACTGGGGCTTCCCACGTGGGTAGCAGGTTCAAGTCCCTGAGCCATCATCTGCCACTTCCCAGTGACCAGGGATCTGGATCAGAAGTAGAATGGCCAGATGTGGGATGCGGGGATCCGGAGCAGCAGTATAACCCACCATGCCAATGTCCTGCCCCAGTTAGGACTAGTTTTATAAATAGGATCACAACTATTTCATGGAGTCAGGCTTATACAGGCTTATAGTCTTCCTCCTTTTCATGAACAAGAACTATTTTTCAAAACATTCATACATCAATGTAGATTTCTTTGACCAAAAGTTTTTTAAAGATTTATTTATCTGTATTGAAATGTCAGATATATATAGAGGGGGAGAAACAGAGAGGAAGATCTTCCATCCGATGGTTCACTCCCCAAGTGACTAAAATGGGCGAGCTGAGCAGACCCAAAGCCAGGAGCCATGAGCTCTTCCGAGTCTCCCACACGGGTGCAGGGTCCCAAGGCTTTGGGCCATCCTTGACTGCTTTCCCAGGCCACAAGCAGGGAGCTGGATGGGAAGTGGAGCTGCCAGGATTGGAACTGGCACCCATGAGATCCTGGCATGTGCAAGGTGAGGACTTTGGCTGCTAGGCTACCTAACCAAGCCCAAAATTTCTTATTCATTGCTTGCAAACACATGCCTAGCATAAAGTTCCGTGTCCTATTGTCCAGATAAGTTCAGTGGCCTCTTGGGGAGACCTTCTATGGTCTGAAGATAGGTCTAACAGAGTAAAGATCCGGTCAGTTAAAAGCCCCAACAAGGCCTCAGTATCATTATACAACATTATGGAATTAATTGACATAGTATTGGGTAAACAATATGTTAAAAATAATGCAAGTTCCATTCTTCGAGACATCTGGGTTGAGACAGTATCAATGACAGGTTCAAAAAATAACAAACAACCAAACAAAAATTACACGTTAAATCAAGGCAAACATGTGGTATCTAATCTTTTGGGATTCACTCATTTCCCTTAGCATTATAGTTTCCAGTTGTGCCCATTTAGCCACAAAGAACTGCATTTTGTTTTTTTTAATAGCTGAGTAGTATTCCATGGAGTAGATGAACCAAAGCTTTCTTATCCAATCTTCTGCTGATGGGCATTTTGGTTGCTTCCATGTTTTTGCAATTACTGATTGTGCTGCAATGAACATAGGGATGCATGTTGGTTTGTCGTAAAACAGGTGTTTTGGATATATTCCTAGGAGTGCTATTGCTGGGTCATATGGTATGCAGATTTTGAGTTGTTTGAGTGTTCTCCAGACTGATTTCCATAGAGGCTGTACCAATTTGCAGCTCCACCAGCAGTGGAGTAGGGTTCCCTTTTCCCCGCATCCTCGCCAGCAGGCGTCGTTGGTGTTCTTGTTTATGTGGGCCAATCTTGCTGGTGTTAGGTGGTACCTCATCGATGTTTTAATTTGGATTTCCCTTATTGCTAGGGAGCTGGAACATTTTTTCATATGTTTGTTTGCCATTTGGATTTGTTCCTTTGTGAAATGTTTGCCCATTTCCCGTGCCCATTTCTTGAGTGGCTTGTTCGTTTTGGTTTTTTGGTTGTTTTGAAGTTCTTTGTATATCCTGGAAATTAGCCCCCTATCGCCTATATCGTGTGCAAAGATCTTCTCCCACTCTGTGGGTTGCTTTTTTACTTTGTTGATTGTTTCCCTTGCTGTACAGAAGCTTCTTAGTTTGATGAGGTCCCATTTGTTTATTCTGTTCTCAACTGCTATTGCTTTTGGTGTCCTTCTTAGAAAGTTGGGACCTACTCCTAGGTCTTGCAGGGTATTTCCTACATTTTCTTGCAAGAGTTTGAAGGTTTCTGGATGTAGGTTTAGGTCTTTTATCCATGTAGATTGGATCTTGGTGTATGGTGATAGATGTGGGTCTATCTTTTTGTTTCTACAGGCTATCAGCCAGTTGTCCCAACAACATTTACTAAAGAGGCCTTCCCACTTGCTTGAGTTGTCATTGGTCTTTTTGTCAAAGATTAATTGGTTGTATTTGTGTGGGTTCCCTTTTGGAGCTTCTATTCTATTCCATTGATCTTCCTTTCTGTCTTTGTGCCAGTACCAGGCTGTTTTGATAACCACTGCTCTATAGTATGTCCAGAGGTCCGGGATTGTGATTCCCCCTGCTAACTTCTTATTTTTCAGGATGGTTCTAGCTATTCGTGGTTTTTTGTGTTTCCAGATGAACTTTTGAATCATTGTATCCAGTTCCGTGAAGAATGTTTTGGGCAATTTGATTGGAATTGCATTGAAAATGTATATTGCTTGTGGCAGTATAGACATTTTAATGATATTGATTTTGCCTATCCAGGAGCACGGGATGTTGTTCCATCTTTTGAGGTTTTGTTCAATTTCCTTTTTAAATAGTTTGTAGTTTTCTTCGAATAGGTCTCCTACGCTTTTGGTTAGATTTATTCCCAAATACTTCATACTTCTCTCAGCTATTTTGAATGGTATCCTGTTGGTTAGATTTTCTTCCATCTTGGTGTTATTTGCGTACACTATGGCTGTTGATTTTCGTTCGTTAATTTTGTACCCCGCCACTCTGCCAAACTCTCGTATAAGTTCTAGCAGTTTCTGTATTGAGTCTCCTGGTTTTTCTATGTATAGGATTATGTCATCTGCATATAGTGAAAGCTTGACTTCTTCGTTTCCTATACGTATGCCTTTGATTTCTTTTTCTTGTCTTATGGCCTCTGCAAGTACCTCTAGGACTATGTTGAATAGCAGTGGTGATAGCGGGCACCCTTGTCTTGTTCCAGATCGCAGTGGGAAGGGTTCTAGCTTTTCTCCATTCAGTATGATACTGGCGTTGGGTTTTTCATAAATTGCTTTGATTATGTTGTGGATTTTCCCGTCTATGCCTACTTTGGCTAGAGTTTTTAGCATGAAGAGGTGTTGGATTTTGTCGAAGGCTTTTTCTGCATCTATTGAAACTATTATGTGGTTCTTGTTTTGCAGTTTTTGGATATGGTTTATAACATTTATGGATTTCCGAATATTGAACCATCCCTGCATTCCAGGGATGAATCCTACTTGATCCGGATGAATGATCTGTCTGATGATTTTTTGAATTCTATTGGCTAGGATTTTGTTGAGAATTTTAGCATCAATGTTCATCAGAGAAATAGGTCTGTAGTTTTCCTTCTCTGATGGTTCTCTGTCCGGTTTTGGGATTAAGGTGATGTTGGCTTCATAGAATGAGTTTGGGAGGGTTGCTTCCTCCTCTATTGTTTTGAAGAGCTTGTAGAGGATTGGGGTTAGTTCTGTTCGGAATGTTTTGTAGAATTCTGTAGTGAAGCCGTCTGGGCCTGGGCTTTTTTTCGTTGGGAGATCCTTGATGACTGTTTCAATCTCTACCTCGGTTATGGGTTTATTTAATTCTGCAGTTGCCTCCGGACTGAGTTTTGGTAGGTGGTGGGAGTCCAAGAACTTTTCTATTTCTTGGTGGTCCTCAAATTTGTGGGAGTACAGTTCTTTGTAGTAATTTCTAATTATTTTCTTAATGATTGCAGTGTCTGTTGTTATGTTGCCTTTTTCATCTTTAATGCTATTGATTCTCACTTTCTCTTGTTTTTTTTTGGTCAATCGGGCCAGTGGAGTGTCTATTTTGTTTATTTTCTCAAAAAACCAACTTTTTGATTTGTTGATTTTATGTATAGTTTTTTTGATTTCTATTTGGTTTATCTCCTCCCTTGTTTTGATGATTTCTTGTTTCCTATTGTGCGTGGGACTCTTCTGCTGCTGTTTTTCCAGATCCTGGAGGTGTGAGGTTAGTTCCTGTATTTGGCGTCTTTCTTGGGCCTTGACATGCGCTCCGATTGCGATGAATCTACCTCGTAGCACTGCTTTGGCAGTGTCCCACAAGTTTTGGAATGTTGTATCAGAGTTTTCATTGGTTTCCATAAATTTTTTGATCTCATCTTTAATTTCTTCTCTGACCCATTGTTCGTTTAATAGCATATTGTTCAATTTCCAAGAGTGCCTATACTTCCTGGGGAGTTTTGAGTTGTTGATTTCCAGTTTCATCCCATGGTGGTCTGAGAGGGTACATGGTATGATACTAATGTTTTGGAAGTTGTTTAGATTCGCTTTATGTCCTATCATGTGGTCGATTCTGGAGAAGGTGCCATGCACCGCTGAGAAGAAGGTATAGTCTGTGGCCTTAGGATAAAAAGTTCTATATATGTCTACTAAGTCCAGTTGTTCTATTGTTTGTGTGAGCTCTGTTGTTTCTTTGTTGAGTTTTTGTTTCGTAGACCGGTCCATTGTTGTTAGAGGTGTGTTGAGATCGCCTACAAGAATTGTGCGGGTGTCTATGTCTTCCCTTAAGTCTGTAAGTAATTGCTTTACGTAAGTAGGTGCATTAAGATTCGGTGCATAAACATTAATGATGGTGATTGCTTCTTGATGGATCTTTCCTTTCACCAGTATAAAATGGCCTTCCCTGTCTCTTTTGATGTTAGTTAGAATGAAATCTATCTCGTCTGAAATTAGGATAGCTACCCCAGCTTTTTTTTCTCGTCTATTGGCGTGAAATATCTTTTTCCATCCCTTCACTTTCAGTTTCTTTGCATCCTTTCTGGTTAGATGCGTTTCTTGTAGGCAACAGATGGTTGGGTCTTGT